AAAAAAATCCTACCATGAAAAATACACGGATTAAAACTACATATAATTTCATGGCCATGAAAAATTATGCTCCACCACGAAAAATGAAACTCATAAATAATACAGGCATATATAAAGCTAGGCTGCATGTTTAAACAGTTAAAATATTATCAGAGTACTTTCCGGATTTGAACAAAAACAAGGAGAGGAACGAGAACATGAACCACCTCCATTTACACAGGTAAGATCAGATGTTCCTTCGTGTGTCGATCTCGTCTTTATAAAGTTGTGTTTAACCACTAAAATATAAACCAGCAAACAAAATTACATTTTATCATTTTATGTTATTTTGTGTGTGAATGAAAATTGAATAGAAAGTCAATAATCATTTGGTTTCATCATCAGATATTGCCATAAGATTTCAGGAACAATTCAGAAATGTTTCAGCAAAGCCAACTGCTATATGCATAAGCAAACCTTACTGTGATTTCTAGCCAAACAACATTAAGCAAGATCCAGGACATTTCACCAATGCTTTTTAATCACTGTTTGCTAAACAATACAACATACACTTCAACACTAGGACCAAAAAAAAAAAAAATGTCTTGTTTCTCAAATTATTGTTAGATAAATTTAGGGCAATTACTGACAGTAGTGATGGGTAACTTTAGTCCATTTAAACCGTTTTCCAAGTGATTTTTTTTTTATATATATATCGTCTTCAAATTATAAAAATAAATTTAGAAGTAAGAACGACATGAATGCCCTCCTGCTTTCTGTCACAAAATCTTTCTATTTTAGTAATTTAAAAAGGATGACACTGTCTGACCTTCACCCGAGAATCCAAAAATGCAAACTAAATGTCAGTCATCAAAATTAGATACAAATATTTGTGTGTGTTGTCATGACGCTGTTTATAACAATCTGAATGTCTCCATTATTGATGCAGATCTAGATCATGATTTAAAGTACATAAAACTTAAGAAGGCAAGAATTAAAAAGTTACACAAACCTATGATCACTAGTTACATATGGTGAGTGAATGAAGTATATCTATATTTGTGTGATCGTGTCTTGTACATGTAGCTGTGGAACTTTAGAAAGTGATACTATAGTAATTAGTATTATTGTTCCATTATTATACACGAATTTCACATTGAATACTTTGAGATTGTTATATTTTATGAGATTGTGTCATCCCATACGTATGCTGTTTTAAATCATAATGTGAGATGTTGTTTTAAATCATAATGTGAGATGCTGCACATCATACTCGAAAGAGGTTGATGCAGAATATATAGATAGATAGATAGATAGAAGTGTGTAGCTTACATAGTCCGATATGAACACCGACCATCTGTACTCTTATACGGGAATTCGGGTGTAAATTATCTCATATTGTTGTATTTCATCAAATTGTAACATGATACAAGTATTCCATCCAAATAAGGTCGTAGTATTATGTTGTTAGTCTGTAAATTAACGATATAAGTGTTTAAATGCGAAGTGAAGACTGCATATTGAACCAATCAATGTGTATCAGCAGACGACAAGTCCACCGCTAGATGTAATCTGTATTTTTACGGGAAACACATGTTTATACTCAAAACGATTGTTCAGCGTGTTGATATAACATCATACCTGTCATGTGTATTCCATTTTATCATACTGTCTAATCTTTTATAGCCCATTAGAGTCGAAAGTTTGTCTTGGACATAGCGGTTCGTCTTCTACGGCAGCCATATTTGTTTATCTTTTCGGTAACACTCGGGAGTCATCCACATAGTATTTACTCGGATCTCTCGGACTTTATTAACTTAGTATATTAGATTCGAAGGTTTGATCATGGAAACTGATGTTATAGTTATTGACCATCAACTTTCTTCTAACTACACTTGTTTCAGTTAATAAATGATCATTAAAAATAAAGAAAATTAATTTAATGATCATAAAAATTAGTTTCATGAGCATTAAATTCTCATTTCTTTTATTATCGAAAACAATAACGGCTTAAAAATTTAACAGAACAGTTCAGCATTTTTCAGCATTATCCTGAACAGTTCAGCAGTTTTCAGCATATATTTTCTCGTATTTACGAAGTACCTTTATCGTGATGTGCCAAAGCCAAATGTACACTCGTGTTGTGATATGATAAATCGTTCCAACATATATATATACCATGATATACCCTAATTAATTCTGTAAATATTCATGGCCATGAACATGCATGGAACACTATATCAAAAATTTCTATGATGATATATATATAGATATCATGGCCTTTGTTGAAAAATCCATGGCCATGAATTTATGATCTTTACTAGAAGCTGTGGAATTACTTTTTCATGGCCATGAATTCTTCATGTCTTTACTTGGACGCCATGATATTTTTCTTCGTGGCCTTGAACTGTCTGGTATCTCGGACACTTTTAGAGCAACTAATTTTAATGGCAGTGGTTTTCCAAATTTCAATGCCATGAAATACACGATCGGAATTCATGGCCATGATTTCATTTTTTCAGGGCCATACTTTGACCATGATTATTTTTTGCGACGAGAAATCATGGCCATGGTTCTATACACTCGTATCAGACAACTATATTCATTGAAATTTAAGGGGATGTATGAGTGATTCATGGGGTATTCAAGGCCATGAAAAATATATTCATGGCATTAAGGCAAGCCCATGAAAAAAACTTCGACGAAATGAAATTGGCCTTATTAATGGCATCCAGGATTTTTAATGGGGTTTTCACAGGAATTTCATGGGATTTTTATGGGATATGCTTCCAGTAGTGTATATCTTACGGTAATACTATGGCAAACAAAGTGAATCTTTTGAAATTTCGTCTAAGTAGGAGGACATAAAGTGTGTGACAGGTTTAGATTGTACATATTATTACAGTCGCATCTTAACTTTGCGCTTGAGGGAAATCCCCGTCAGCTTAATCGGTAGAGCGGCGGGCTGGGAAGCTTGGTGTTTATGGTTCGATTACCGCTGTAAGTACACTTCTCTCTTTCCTATTACAGATGGTGTCCATGACCCTCCAGTTGGTGACAGGAAGATTGAACTAGGATTAAGGTGGTTGGGAGCACATTTATATGATTAAAGTCGCCTTCTAGCTTCGCGCTCGAGAACATTTAACTTTAGCTGAATCAGGTGTTTGAAGCTAGGTCGTCGCTGGTTCGATCCTAATTGTACATGTCAGCACACTACTCTCTCGTTACACACAGTAGTTACAGTGTTTTCGACTTAATAAAATACAACATAAAGTGATGATTGATTATGGAAAACGAGTTATTTTGGTTTAGTGAATTTAGTGTCCTATTTATGCCACCATGTGTGTAAGGCATGTGCGTAACATGACGGCAGTATATCATAATTTGAGGTTTTATTATATCACAACTAATTCGTAGGTTGTCTCAAAGCGGTTTACATTGTTTTGTTCAGAAATTATGATATATATTTCATAAATGGAAAATACACAATTTAAAAAAAAAATGTTTATTGGCAAATACAATAGTGTCAGCTAAATGTTAAAATGAAAAATGTAATGCTTCCTTACGAATTGAAATGAATCATCTCAACTAAAACTGGTATTCGAACCATTATTTACAGAAAAGTTCAAAAGTTTGGTGAATGCTTTCTAAACCCCTACGGATATAACCGTCTGTAAAATCAGTAAAGAGGTGGCTATCGTTTTTCAAATGTTTTCTCCTTAGTTTTGCTGGAGGTAGTCAACTGGTTCCGATACCGAAGGAGAAGTTTGAGACGATTTAAGAGACTTAAGTTTTTGCTTCCTGTCATAGTTCGATGAGCTAAAACATTTTAGAGCAAAGCAGAAATATATACAATGTTGCCATGGCAGGGATATATTTCGTACATGAACCAAATCGAAAACATTTGGGTCACATGAAAAAAACACCAAGATGATAATTAGCATGTCGACAAAAAAGATGGACCTTTCGAATGATTGGCAAAGGCATTGATACCCATTGAATAAATTAATTTTGCAAATGACTTAATCATAGCACACCTAACAGAATGGTAGCAGTGATCAAAAATAAAGAATGATATACAAAGTATTAGTCTAGGAATTGTCAAAAGCATACATAGTATTGAGGATATCAAATATTAATCGAACTAATCAAGTATATTTTTGACTCTTACTGTTGATATATTTGTTAATAAAATGTGCCCTTAATTTCTAAATAAAACAATGTGCTATTTATTTTTAATCGGGTACCTCAACATACTGTATATGTACTACAAGTCATTGGGTATCTCAACATACTGTATATGTACTACAAGTCATTGGGTATCTCAACATACTGTATATGTACTACAAATCATTGGGTATCTCAACATAATATATACGTACTACAAGTCATTGGGTATCTCAACATAATATATATTTACTCAAGTCATTGGGTATCTCAACATACTGTATACGTACTACAAGTCATTGGGTATCTCAACATACTGTATACGTACTACAAGTCATTGGGTATCTCAACATACTGTATACGTACTACAAGTCATTGGGTATCTCAACATACTGTATACGTACTACAAGTCATTGGGTGTCTCAGCATACTGTATATGTACTACAAGTCGTTGGGTATCTCAACATACTGTATACGTACTACAAGTCATTGGGTATATCAACATACTGTATATTTACTACAAGTCATTGGATATCTCAACATATTATATATGTGTGACGTACTTGCTGAACAACATAGCGTGGTCGTATCCGCAAGGAGAGATCGCGAGCTGTTGCTCCCAAGCCGTGTAGTTGTACTGTATACGTACTACAAGTCTTTGGGTATCTCAACATACTGTACACGTACTACAAGTCATTGGGTTTCTCAAGATAATATATATTTACTACAAGTCATTGGATATCTCAACATCTTATATATGTACTACAGGTAATTGGGAATCTTAACATAATATATATTTACTGCAGGTCATTGGATATCTCAACATATTATATATGTGCGACGTACTTGCTGAACAACATAGCGTGGCCGTATCCGCAAGGAGAGATCGCGAGCTGTTGCTCCCAAGCCGTGTAGTTGTACTGTATACGTACTACAAGTTATTGGGTATCTCAACATACTGTACACGTACTACAAGTCATTGGGTTTCTCAAGATAATATATATTTACTACAAGTCATTGGATATCTCAATATATTATATATGTACTACAGGTACTTGGGTATCTCAACATAATATATATTTACTCCAAGTCATTGGGTATCTCAACATGCTGTATATGTACTACAAGCCATTGGGTATCTCAACATACTGTATTCGTACTACAAGTCATTGGGTATATCAACATACTGTATATTTACTACAAGTCATTGGATATCTCAACATCTTATATATGTACTACAGGTAAGTGGGTATCTCAACATAATATTATATTTACTACAAGTCATTGGGTATCTTAACATATTATATATGTACTACAAGTCATTGGGAATCTCAACATACTGTATACGTGCTACAAGTCATTGGGTATCTCACCATATTGTATATGTACTACAAGTCATTGGTTTTCTCAACATAATATATATTTTCTACAAGTCATTGGGTATCTCACCATATTGTATATGTACTACAAGTCATTGGTTTTCTCAACATAATATATATTTACTCCAAGTCATTGGATATCTCAACATCTTATATATGTACTACAGGTAATTGGGTATCTCAACATACTGTATTCGTACTACAAGTCATTGGGTATATCAACATACTGTATATTTACTACAAGTCATTGGATATCTCAATATATTATATATGTACTACAGGTAAGTGGGTATCTCAACATAATATTATATTTACTACAAGTCATTGGGTATCTGAACATACTGTATACGTACTACAATTCATTGGGTATCTCAACATACTGTATGCGTACTACAAGTCATTGGGTATCTTAACATATTATATATGTACTACAGGTAACTGGGTATCTCAACATAATATTATATTTACTACAAGTCATTGGGTATCTTAACATATTATATATGTACTACAAGTCATTGGTTTTCTCAACATAATATATATTTTCTACAAGTCATTGGGTATCTCACAATACTGTATACGTACTACAAGACATTGGGTATCTCAACATACTGTACACGTACTACAAGTCATTGGGTTTCTCAACATAATATATATTTACTACAAGTCATTGGATATCTCAACATATTATATATGTACTACAGGTAATTGGGTATCTTAACATAATATATATTTACTACAAGTCATTGGATTTCTCAACATAATATATATTTACTACAAGTCATTGGGTATCTCAACATATTATATATGTGTGACGTACTTGCTGAACAACATAGCGTGGTCGTATCCGCAAGGAGAGATCGCGAGCTGTTGCTCCCAAGCCGTGTAGTTGTTGATTACGTCACTGGCGTCCACCTTTCCTCCGCTGACTCTGGTCTCCGTCCACTCAGATGTCGCAACGGACTACACAAAGACGGAACACATTTAAATGTGAAAAGATATGTGAGTGAAAGTCAGTGTGTATCGTATGGTGGTGTAACAAGCCCGTTCATATTACACAGCGACGTTCACCTTCCAGATCTGATATACCTTATGAGTATAGGCGTGTAACAATACGCTTGGAGTGTATCACAATTTATTACAAAAGACAAAGAATGCATTGCGGTACGTATCACGATATATAGTCATAGAAAAAAAGGTGCTGAATTTCAGAAGAATTGTTGTCAGAATGATATCAAACTGGATAATATATATGGTCACACAGATTAAAGATATTTTTTTGTTAAACCTTCCATCTATTATGAATTTTAACTGATTCCAATTACAGGTGTATTACAGCTTGATGATTGTTATTAACTATTATCTGTTACAATGTTAATTAATTTACAAAGTTAAAACACCTAGCGGATACATAGAAAATCAGCGTATGAAAAATATTGCAACACAGCAACATTTCATTTCTGTATTGCGATGTCTGTGTATTGTGTAGTCCAGCTTTTCAAAAATATTGTGATAACAATACTAATGGTAAAAAAACTTATTGAGGGAAGAGATGATACTCTTACAAATATCGATAGAAAGTATGTCAATTTAAGGAGTTCCTATTTAATAATACTCCCAGTTAAATCATTAACGTCATTCTAAATTATTTTCCTTCATTCTGTCATATTTTTAATCAGCTCAACTACTGTATATAACTAAAATAAAATACGAGAGAAAAAAGACAACAAAAACATAACAAAAACAGGAAACAAATAATTTTCCTCCCTTCTGTTATATTTTATTATCCCCTCAACCACTGTTTATAGCTAAAAATAAAAAAGCAAAAAACAAGAAAAAAATAGATTTGTTTAGAACAAAACGACAACTACAAAAAATTACAAAAATAGGAAAAAAATAATTTTCTTTCATTCTGTTATATTTTATTATCGGCTCAACTATTGTGTATAACTGAAATTTGAAAAAAAAAATAGAAAAAAAAGAAAAAAGAAAAAAACGACAAAAACAAGAGGAAATAAAACAATTTTCACTTATTTGAGTTATGTCTTATTAGACATTTTACGTAGGGACTGACTCATTGTTATGCATATTTCAAGCATAAGAAGGAAGTAAAATATTACATTTTGCAAGAACATTTGATATACGCTTTTAATAAAATTAAAAATTGCTGTCGTCATGAATTTTGAATAAAATAGTCGAAATCAAAAAACATACTTTATGCTGGAAGGGCAAAGTGAGCAACATAAAGCAACTCTAAAAATACATGGATAAAATGTCTATGATGAGTGGTGATTAACAGTTTCAAGTATATTTATATAATCCTAACTACACGTCACTTTCTGGAGAAAACCCCCCTGACTTTCTGTCAGGTAAATGCCGTCAGGGATAAATGGCTGATCTTGCAACAGGCGATGAAACGAGTGTAAAAAGAGGGTCAACCGTATGTAGTAGATATTGAAGAGAACTTTAAATTGTTGGATATCAAGATTGCTAGAAAACTGAAATGGATGTTTGTGCAACGGTTTGGTTTGGTTTGTCCTTAACCTTCTGAAGACCTTAAGGACGAGCAGGTTTTTGTGGTAGAGGAAACCAGAGTACCCGGAGAAATAAACATCGACCACCCAACCACCGGCTACCTGTCGGCCTTACACCTGCGACCCAGTAGGTGGAACTAGTGACCGAAGATTATCAGACATCTTAACAATTCGACCCTTTTCGTCAACGGCAAAGCAAAATAAGACCAAATACCAATCCAAAGAGGTAAAACAGCAGTTTTAAACAGAATAGGTTGTGAAAACACCAGAATACGATATATTCATATGCTCCATGAAAAAAATCCCAACAGCATAGATGTTTTTAGAAAGGAAAAGATTCATTTGTTTTTTGCGTTCTTTATCCTCATAACATATACTGTTTTGTCTCCAAAAGCAATGGTACACCTTTCGACTTGGCGATACAAATCTCATTCAGCAATATGTATGGATTTGAACAGTATTCATAAACGTGTACAAGGAAGTATTTAGGAAATGGACTCCGAGTCTCTAGAGTCAGTTGCTGTATTTAAAAGTTTGTTTATTTATGGTGTAAAGCATTTTTAACAGCATTTGTAACTCGATTGTTGGTTGAATAGGCATGTTTCACGATACTTACTTCAGAAATAACAAGGCATGCAAATACCACGTTTATAGAAATCGACGACGAATCAACACTGGCATACATAGCGTCAATCTGGAATGATAAAAATCTTTTGATTATAGTTTTTATTACATGATGTTTGAACGTCTATTACACTATGTAAATATGATGATTACTTAGCTACATAATGTCACAAATTGATGACGCAATAAGAAGATATGTTAAGGATATTATGGACACAGTAGTGATGACGAAATAATGTAACGTTTACCTCATTAATGGCATGCGCGTAGAACTGCCTGATACTCGTCTTGGCGTCTAAGTCCTTCTGTGCGGTCGATGTCGCATTGCTGTCGTTATACCAACTAGATAAACAGTCATCAAACGTATCATATTATGATATCTAATACAGCAGGTCAATCTTCCTCTAATAATTGTTAACAATCTAAAACAAACGATAAATCATGCACATCTCAACGTCAGTTTCCCTTAATATAATTTAATACTCGTACATCTAATTTGCTTTTAAATTTCCTCGGTAGAAATTTCCTTAGTTAAACACTATGTAAGTGCTCAGTGCTTGAGAGTATTGCGTATTGTTGGTCAGTTAACGACTTTTGTTGAGGTCGATACGTTGTAAAATGAACCTAATAATGATATCATATTGACCAAGACAAACTTTTCTGTGTATCATGTCTTATGATAATATATTAGATATCCAAATAGTTAGAATAAATAAATGGTTTTCGAAACGAAATATCCGGATCTAAATTAAGAAACAATGGGTCGAAAGGGTCACGTGCAAGACAAAAATATATCGGTGAACATGACCCCTAGGATTAGCCAGACCATACGTAATATATGATTATTTGATATGCGTTTATGTATGATAGAAATTCCAACACAAGTGTACAGAATATGGGACACAAAACCAATCTTATAATCAAGGGATGGATGTTTCCATCGAACATATGATACAGTCATTTTCGTACATCACTTTCAAATTCATTTGTTCGAGGTGTGTAGATCTTGTGGCAAATTATTGACTTCCTAAATATTAAACCAATAAATATCTAAAGGAAACATCACAGTTTTGTTTATGCTGAAAGTATAAACTTCCTATAATACCTAACTTGACAACAAATGTTAAAAAAATTGTTTCACTGGAAAAGAATTTACCCCATTTATGATCTCCGAGGGAGGAATTCTCTATCCACCTACCGTTACATATGGAAAAGTATTTTTCTCTTATATCTACCATTAAAAAACAAATACTTCATCTCTCAATGCCCACAGACGGTCGCCATCTTCCAGGTTTTTAAATACTTTCTCGGTGGTTTAAAACAAAAAATGGCAGTAGAAATGAATTATTTATACCCTCAAATTGAAACTTCGTTGCAAACATAAAAAACACATTTCCATGATAACCCTATGGTTTAGTTGTTATTCAACTTTCTATTTTCCATACTGCATTTTATAAGCGCCATCTTTGAATCTCATCGTTACTTACTGTACATCTCATTTAGTGCGCAGAGAAATATAGTTCCTAGTTGAAAATAGAAAACAATTTATGTTTTTGTTGTCAAATTTTTAATTCATGACTGATCATGTAATTAATAAATATAAATGAAATTATAGATAAAATTAATAAATACGGAGCCGGGCGAATATTACATGAGCACCGGAGTTGCTCCCTTAGTTTTTGTATTACTACGCGATGTGATTAGCCCGTGTAAGATAGACTCAGCAAGCATGATTATCTTACATGGCCAGCGTTATCTTACATGAACGGATATGAGAGAAAAATGTATTTCACATGGCTTCAGTCAATCGAAAACTATCTTACATTGCGTGCCATCTAAGATAATTCTTCTCCAAATATAGGGACTGATAATGACTTTTTTTATTCTTTTCTTATGTCTTTCAGTCAATAGAAATGACACCCTATCTCAGTATATTCGAGCTGTCATCTTAGGGTTGGCTGTGGATCAGAGAAACACGTCATGACCACTGGAGTGTGAAATATCGCTGTACTGGGTTAGAGAGGGCACGCCTCGCCTATCCTTGGTTATTACCATTATTACCGGCTTAATTACCTAGTCGTTCAAACATCAAACAATCATAACAAAGTATCAATGTAGTCAGCCGGAAGGTTTTGACGATAGTCAGTACTTGTACACGATATCATAAATGCACAGTGACATCGTATGACAATATGCACTTGACTTAAGTTAATAAATATATTCTGGTTGTCATAAACACGAAGACTGGTACTTGATTCACATGGGAGAAAGGCTCGGAAAGGGGTTATTTGATTTGAAATATTCACGTCACATCAACAAAGTGATAAATATTAATTATTTATTTATTGAACATTTCATGACAAATGACCGCTTGTTTGGACTTCAACTCCAAAATAATTATGTTTATATTTCTGTACTTACTATCTGTAAATGGAGTAATCGGTGGTGAACATTAACTCGACGGTTTGCTCAACAGCGGCTCGCTTCACGCGCGAGCTGGGAATGGGGTATATTGAATCGTCTAGCCTGCTTCCGGTTCCTGTTTTGCCTCTGTTCCTAGTCTTGTCAAAATCAGATGTATCACTCTTGCTATCCGAGCCGTGACCGACTGGAAAAATGTAAAATAAAAACCGATGATTTTGTAGGCCGGATTTTTGATAATCAAAACGTTTTGTTGTAGTTAATAATCGTAAACTGAATAACTTAATGTAAACCTACATGTCTCAGGACAATGAACAAAGTTCTAAGTCTAGACGCCTTTACAGTATAACTTCAAACATTAGCATACCGTGCTGTCATAATTGCGTAGAAACACTCGTACAAATCGTGGGAATAGAGAATGTATTATTATAGAACCAGTTATCCATCGTTATTGTTAAGCGCTATTATATAGGGTGTGTGTTTGATATGTCTGAGTGAATATATGTCTATTCTCCAGTATACTATTATACATGGACTGTTTTTCCGATATAACTTTCGTAATGTTATTTATTTCAGAATTTTAAAGAAAAATGTTTTTTTTATATTAATTAAACTATTCAAGCAAGTTTAACCCGAGCCTCGCCTACATGGCTAATGGACGGTTACTAAATACACCTGTTTTTGATTCTCGTAAAAAGAACATAATGACAATGAACATCGCCAAGTGGAACCAATACACTAGATGTATGCGTTCATTTATCATTACAACTGGAGCTGCTCAAACCACAGGATGTTTACCTAGATGAAAGATTATATTACCACCTATTCGAAAGTGCTGTTACATAATAACGTAAGTCGCTACTGACAAGGGATCATTAAAACGAGAAATACGGTATCAAGTGCATTTATTTCTAAAATGCAGTTTGTTCTCGGGGGCATCAAAGCCTAAAAGCTTCTAATAAGTAAGCTATGTTGATCTGTGTTATCTTTGTACGAGTATGAACCATTGAAAGACAGTTAAGTACTGACAGCCGTAAAAAAACACCTACTTCGGCTAAATGTCCCTCTTCTGCGAGGACATTTTCACATCGTAATTTCGAAATTTCTCCCAAACTGAAGATAATGAAAGGTCTTTTGAAAAAAGCTTCAATCCTCGAGGTTGGGCGAGGCCTGAATTCAATCTTGCACCGTTTAAATGAAAAACTCGTTAAAGAATAAACTACCTGTTGTAACCTGAAATTGTAAATGCAATGAAGTTTGAGTTTGATCGGCCCAAGGAAACTCAAGTTATCGCACGAAAACAGATTTTATATTTATAGTAACAGTGACCTTGCCCTTCGGACCTCAAAAGCAATCCCAAGCAGGCACTTTTGGTAAAGAAGCACTGCATGAAGTTTGAGTTTGATCGGCGTAAGGAAACTCAAGTTATCGCACGAAAACCTCTGTGCGGACGACGCCGCCGACACCGACGACGCCGACAACGCCGACGCCGACATAGCAATACCTATGTATCACCAGCTTTTCGCAGGCGACACAAAAAGAATATGACCAGTCATTCCGGAAGAGTAAGTTGTTCCTGTTATTATTGCCGCCACACGTCATAAAATCTAGGTCCAATCAATTAATGATACATCATCCAAGTGAGAACAAGACTGATGTGGAACACTAGGGACACAAAAGAGCATACTCAAAGAAGACTCATTCCTATCGCACAAGGGAAATACTATATACTTTTTCTCTATAAAATCTATGATGGTGACCTTAAACATTGGACAGTATCTTTCATCAACCTGTATTGAAACGTTTGACCGTCAACATTCGATATCTATACTATCGCGGAAATCGTGATATTCGGATTTAAACTATAAATATCAAATTAACTGCGAAATGTAAACACTAAAGATGGGAAAGTAGGGGTGTCACTATCAATAAAAGGAAAGTTCCTGATCAGAAATCAAAATAATTACAACGGATACGTACAAAGCCATCCTTGTTAGTTATATAATAAGTAGAGATCGAGATGAAAGGCTTATATAGAAGTGTCAGTTGTGACTTTGATATCAAATTATTTTCTAAATATTTTTTTATAAATTACTTTTTTGAAGAAAATATGGTTTGAACCGGAATGGTAACTTATGACTGTAACTCATCCCACTTCAACTACGTCTAAAGCATTTCCTAAAACTGACGTGGTTCAATAAATGTCAGACTGGCAGTTGAAAGATACGTACTTTTCTTTAGTTACCATATCAGCTGCATACAACATCACTTCATAACCATTATTATCACGACAAACCTAAAGTCATAAGTCCAAAAGGAGCACCTGTTTTAATTTTTAAAATTGACCTATCGGGGAGCAAAGTTAGGTAATATATCGTTCAGCGAATGAAACACAAACTGTGCAATATCTGTACACGTGATCTATGTCACGTGAAGATTGGAGATGTTCTTAACAATATAATATATGTCGTTCTTACCTTTCCTCTGCACAATGTCCACAAATTTTTCGGCCCTGACCTTGTACTTCCGTAGACGGAAGTGGGAATCGTCACCGCTTTCAAAATCGCCAGACCTTTCCATAAAGTAGGCGTCATTATTTAATCGCAATGTACCAAACTGTGAAAGAGATTCATATCACAAAAAAGTATACATTATGTATCGGAATTAAGCGACGTCTAGTTTAAATTTATAACGTAAAGTTATTATTTCTTTGTGTTTCATCAAAATTTGAAATTATTGATGGTACTTTTTTTCGGTTTGCTTCCCTCCAGGTTCAGCAATATATATGAGTTAGATATCGCTGCGAGATAATTTGTGAAATATATCAGTCATTTTCATCATTCGTTTTGGTGTGCATACTGCATTAATGCGCGTATTCAATGAGATGGTACCATTGAACCTTTTTAAAAGCATTAGAGACTTATCAGAAAAAATGAAAGAGGCTGATTGTTGTAACTCACCAGATTTAAAACTTTTGACGTTTTTTCATCGAATTTGACGGTAAAAGCTGCCCCGTGTTTTACGTCTTGGTAGAACACCGTGTCCTGTAAAAAGGAAAATATAAACAGTCGTCAGGAATGACATTTTACGGTATTCTTCTGAATTTATCAAAGGATGAACCTTACCGTCATTATTATGAAAGTAAATATTACCATTACTATGTGTAGATCTTACAGTTACTAGGGGAAGACCTTACTGTTATGAGGAGTAGATCTAACTGTTACTAGGGGTATATCTTACTGTTACTACGGGTAGATCTCATTGATACTTGGGTAGACCTAACTGTTATTAGGGGTAGATCTAACTGTTATTAGGAGTAGATCTAACTGTTATTAGGAGTAGATCTAATTGATACTGGGGTAGACCTAACTGTTATTAGGAGTAGATCTAATTGATACTGGGGTAGACATAACTGTTTTTAGGAGTAGATCTTACTGATACTAAGGAGGTTGATCATTCTATCATAAGAGGTAGACCTAACCCTTAGGACTGATTTTAGTGTTACTAGGGTTATATCCTATTATTACCAGGAATATTTAACTGTGGATAGAGTTTAACCTTATTGTTATCGGATATATGCTTAACTGTTATCAGGGGTTCATTTTACGGTTATTATGTGTAGGTCTTACTGTTATTAAGGGGTTGATTTTACTGTTATTAGGTATATGTCTTATCGTTACTAAGGGTTAATCTTACTGTTACTAGGTATAGGTCTAACTATTATATTTATAATTATGGGCAAGTATCCAATTGGAAATATTCAGGCCTCCGTTCCGTCAGTATACGTCAAGCGTTCTATCAGCATCCGGCTCGCGGCTGGTCATCGTCCGTATTGCGATTGTCTATTTTGGCTGTATCAGCTTTATAGCAGTTGAATCGTATCGCTTTTTCGTTTGATCGGTTTTTCATGTCTGCCGAAGTTCTTCTTAATAATAATAATTCGAGGTTCGTATATACCGCTTTATTACAACCTAGCTCAAAGCGGTTCACAAAGTGTTATCCGTGGTGATAGAGCCTTCGCAACCAGCCAATATCTTTCTCAACTCCCTTGGAACCATACAGATGGTGCTGCCATTCGGCGCTCGCAACTAACATTCAACTTTTCGAGCACTTCCTAACCACGTACTCATTTACAGATGAGTAGACAGGAACAAGCAGGGTAAAATATCTTGTTCAAAGATACAACACAGTGCCGTGACGTGACTCGAACCCGCAACCCTTCGGTCACGAGTCCGGCGTCCTACCACTAAACTACCGTGCCTCCGTAATGAAAAATGTACATAATCAGAAGAAAATAACTTGGATATATGCCGTTCACTCAATTTAATAGGCCGTCATAGTTACTACTTTGAGCAATAAGCAAAAAAACAAAGTGTTTGGGTGGCGTAGTGGATAACGCACTCACCTTTCAACAAGACGGCTCGGGTTTGATTTCCCGATCTGTCTTGAACAAAGATATGAAATGATAACAATCTGATGGCCGTATTCCCATTTACTTTAAAAATCTAATTGAGATGTTATTTGTTAGATGTTTAAGATTAAGGGAACGAATATTTCAGAAAAAAGTACTTAACAACAATTCGCTGTGATGTCATAAAATGTCCAAAGGTAAACAAACCAAACGTATGCGTAAGATGTGGAACTTTCATGTTACCACAGATTGAATTTTACTCTCATAAATCTGGTTTTTAGATTGATTTTCTTAAACAAATGTATCTTTAGTATATATTATAAATTATGTCTGAACAAGGCAAAGTATTGCAAGGCAATCCTTAGTCCTCCACCGGTAATGAATTCTATATTTAATAAACAGTCCACTTATGTAGGAAGGTATCCTAATACATACGTCTTGAAATCCGCCATCCCAAGATGTCTTTGTACACCAAATATGGTTACGCCAGGTGAAATAGTATAGATATGCCCTGGACAATGTTTTCAAAACTAAAGGTCAAAGGTCAAGTCATAGGTCACAACTGTGACTTAATTCTTGCTCTTTGCACTTCGTCATCCTTAGATGTCCTTGTATACTTAATCTGGTTACCCAAGTTAAAATAGTCTAGAAGACATGACAAACATTTTCAAAAGTGAAAGTCAAAGGTCAACTAATAGGCCATTGTGACCTTCTTCTTGCAATCTGCACTCCGCAATCCCAAATGTCCTTGTACACCATATATGGTTACTCCATGTGAAATAGTATAGAAGATTACCCCGGGCAAACGGTTTCAAAAGTAAAGGTCAATTGTCAAAGCATAGGTCACAGTGAGGTCATAGTGACCTTCTTCTTGCACTTGGCACTCCGCATCCCAAGATGCCCTTGTACATCAAATCTGGCTACTCCTGGTTTTAAGGTATAGAAGGTATGACCCCGGACAAACTTCTCGGACGAAGAGACGGAAGGACGGACGGAGTGCAAACCTATAGTGCCCCCTTCCTACCTCCGAATCGAAGGAGGAATATCAAGCTGAGTGTTTGTGTATTTAAAACCAATGATAGTTATTATTATACATTGCATAAAAGACACCCTCTTATCAAGTAATCATTAACCCTTTCACCTTTGTGTAACTTCAGTAGACTCTACCATGCATTGATATGGATTAGTCTATTATGGTCTACAGTGGTGAAAGGGTTAATAAATGTCGTCCGTAAATACCTAATTGATACTATTTATCGAACATTATTTATTTTCATTGGTTTATTGGTTCTTTCCTTTTATTTATTTTCCCGTAATATTCATGACATAAAGAAAATTATTATATGAGCGTTGACCAACATACAGAGCCTGATACGACAGTGAGCGTATAGGTACATGTACTAATTTTCGACACAGAGCTACCAAATGAACGTACAGTGCATACGCGGTCATCAATCTTCTTTTTCAGGGCGTGTCAATGATGCGACATGTAAATAAATGTTCAGCGTACGTCACGCACCATACCTGTTTTATTTATTTTACCACAATTATGAAAGAAGCTATATCAACTTATAGGAATAGCTCATTTTGGCCAGGATTTGAGCACGGCATTCTTTAGAAAACCGTATTACCAAAAGGAAACCCAGGTTGTCCGGCAGGCGAGTCCGATGTCAGTTAAATATTTAGGTATTTAGCGTGCGACCAAATAGTACGATAAATAGGCCTTATCGATTGTTCGTTCGACCATCCAGTCATCTGTTTATCGGTGTATATCGGACGGTAACAGCCCTATCGGCCGCTTAGCGGCCGTTCGAGCCGTTCGGTCACCGTCCGTCCTCCGTTTGGTCACAAACATTGGGTACTTGCCCGTAATTATAACTTTACTACATGTTACACGTAGAGTAGATAAGATGTCACCGTAACTATAGGTAGATCTTAACTATACCAGAAATAAATATTACCGTTACTAGACTTAGATCTGACCGTAACCAGGGAATTATCTTAATTAATATTACAACTGAATATTACTGTTACTAGGTTTTGAACTACCGTAACTAGAGTTATATCTTTCTGCTATTAGGAAAATATAATAATTAACGTTACTATGCTTGAATATGACCGTAACTATGGGTTTATATTACTTTTACTATAGTTAAATCTTACCGTTACTAGCGGAAGAGTTTGTAGGACTAGGCTGTTCTCTTTGATGACGTAGACAGACAGGTTCTCATCTAAACCATAGTTACGTCTCAGAGAGAGGCTGACAGACGTATTGGCCGTGTCAAAGTTTATCCCCATGACATCCGGAAACGACATAACGCCACCACGTGATCTTTTATAGCGTCCTTCGTCACTGATTTTTAAGGTCACATGTTCTGAAAGAAAACAAAACATAACTTTCCTATATTATCTGTTGTGCAGAACTGAGAAAATATAAACAACCGCACATCCTTTTCGCTTATCTCCTGATTAAGCATGCATAGAAAAAGAGGCAGAAGTCATCAGTTTATATCCAATGAACATCCGGGTACTGGACAGAGGTTGATGAACTCACAACATGGAGGCAAAGTACATCACACATTTCCAATAGATAATGCCATGTTGTATTGCTGTCGTTGTCATCATTTTCTGTATTGTATTATTTAGTCCGGTGATTTCATCCTTTACTTTAAACATATTTCATTGCCAATTAATTGGAACAAGGGATTGGGCACACATTATTACAACTTATCACAGCCTCCTCCCGTCAAACATTTACAATTACATAATAACAATGAAAATATGTATCAACATGAAGTACATATATTTAATGTCATACAGCATTGTTCAAAATCTATTGTTGGATTTGATGAAATGATGCACATGGCTTAAATGAAAAAGTTAAAGTGAACCGAAAGATCTGAATTGCCAAACGAAAGAAGCTCTAATTTTAATTTTATAAGACATTCAAATTTTGAAACAGAAATACGCCTTTTCTTAACAAAAACTTGATAGTCAAAGACCATTACGAGTGGTTTTGGTGAAACAGGCTGCTGCAAATAAGAATAATTGTGTTTCCGGTTTAGTCTTTGTTTTTTCTTTATTAAGTTGAACTGATGTAAAGATTTGTACTTGAAGGACATGTATATCCTTTAGTGTTTGCGTCTTCTTATTCATATCTTGCAATTTTGAAGGTGCAACGAATACTAAAAACAAGTAGTTTTTCATCAGCTTCTGAACATTCTGTTTACTTATAATAATACCACAATAATGATCATCTTACAACCGGTATGATTTCACGATTATTAACTTTCCTTTACACATCAGTAACATAACATGCCAGCACACTGCTCATTGTTCTGGTTTTACTTGCATGTGACAGTTTGTTTACGTTTTCACGTGCGATTTCCACTCGTGAAAACAAATTGAAAACTCAGTCATACCAGTGACATATATAGCATATGATATTCTAACGAAACCCATCGCAATTTACTCTATATATTGCTTCCAACCATTACATATAATACATTTCATAGATAATATCAAATCGATTTCAAAAGGTTTTTATTTGAAAAGGGCAACTCTCTATACAGCGATGGGTCGATTGACTGGATTAATCTATCAGAAAAAAATACCAGGGAACTGGGAACGTTGTTTGAATTTAAGTTAAAAATTTTAACGGGCCATAAAATAAACATTTTTTGAGGAAGTTAACATTATTTAAATACACCAGGACATATTTACACTGTGTGCCTGTACATGTATACCTAATATCATCTTTCATTAAAAACATATAACATTAACAAAAATTTGTTTGGTGTCGTCTGCTTTTGAATGACTTACCTTCGGTATCCCATTCAAATTTTCCTTGGAATTTAATGGCTGTGGTCGAAGTAATTCCCAAAACACACCAAATGATAAGTCGAATGATCGAAAGCTCCATGTTGTATTGAAGCTTACCGTCAAATGTTCATTTGTGAAGTCTGCCTCACAGGTGTGACCAAAATCACTGGTGGTATTTGCATGTCTTTATAAATAGTTATCCACTCGGCCCGATACAATGATGTCACGTAGCAGAGCGTATCGTGACTCGCCATAAATGCATTTTTGCTACGAAAAGAGGAGGAGGACTTCTGCCCACCTTCGTTGCTCCCCTAAATCCACCACTAAACATGTCCATGTAATTATACCACGTAATTAGATAAGTCCGGGTTTATATCGTGTGCAATGGGCTTTTATTATTCCAACAAAAGTTCCTAGCAAGGTATGAAACATTATATACATTAAGATGTTACGTTACCGGAGAACGTTGATGTGTAAATTATTTTAAATTAACTTCAGCTTTATTTTGTTTTGTGTCCACCACCACACAATAAATTATAAGATTTGGTCTCGGTCGGTCAAAGATTGGTTAGAGTTAATCAGTGGTTTGGGATAATTTCAAAATATGAACACCAGAAAACTAAGAACACCTGGTATCATGTCTCTGCTATATATTCATTTAAGCTGATTATATTAATGTCTATACCAAGAGGGTGCCTGCCAAGCTCTCCATAAACCATGATGTCAGGAGTAGAAGATTTAAAGTGAAGTAATATTTGCAGAATTTTAAATGGACTCTTTCTATAATGGTATTATTAGAAAAAAACATACTTCACAACCTCATAATAAACCTGGGGTAACAAAGTTGTCAAAACGATCAAGTTGACATAGTATTGATAAATTATGTTTTCTACCCCTTTACAGTACCTCGTACTCAGCTTCTGTTCCTTTAAAAGCTAGTAAGTTTTTAATAATAACATTTTTAGCGGAATGTAACATGAAACATAGCAAATACATTACAAATACTTTTATTAAGCATCGAAACACTTCAGCTTGCTGGCTGTGCTTTGATTCACTCAACCAGATTACGTAATCGTAATAAGTAATGTTTACCCAATGCGGGTTTGACCATTAAACATGTACATATTTGATTATCCAACAGGTAAGGGGAGACATATTGAGCGACATGTGAGAATTACAATACACAAGACTCGCTCAGTTCGGAAAGGTAAATTAAAATCAATAGACTGAAACAGACATAATGTGTTTTGTTTATATAGCAGTCACACATGTGTCCAGGTGAATTGAAAACAATTGGACAAGACTTTTTGGACAAGACTGGTCACACATGAGTTCCACATACTGTTGTTCTGTCGGACTGTTAATTAGCGGCTTGTGACATTACAGTTAAAGGGACGTCATCAACAAAACATAAACATTGACCGATATCCATGAAGACATTATAATGCTCAAGAAGGGATTTTAAACTAAAGTCTCATTTCTTGTTCTAGTATTAGTTCTATGCCAGAGACTGAGAACGGTTTCATGAATACGGGTCCTGATGTTTCTGAAAACAGTAACATATTACGCACCGAGTCCACATCAAAGATAGTTGACTTGCACGTGATTAAGATTCAACCACCGAGAATGTAGGGAAATGTGTCATCTTATATAAACCACAAATGGACGGGTTCGGGCATCAGGACATGCTTTGACGGAGTTGGCCCAATATTTCTAAATTAAGATGATGCCACTTTTACAAGGGAACTAACAACCATATTATTTATATCTTGAGTATACAGGAAAATAAAAGTTTTTTTATCACATATTAACCATAGAAATATCAAGTTTTCCTAATTGAACGCTATGCATGTCCTGAATGTCATAAATCTCAAGACAAAAAATACAACGATACCGATAATGAGGTCAGGAAAGAAAATCACATCACAAAATAGCGTTATAGTTAATATAAGTATCCTTTAATTAATCTCGAGGAATGTCCTGCATGCTACAAATCTAAGGAATAGACGGTTCTAGCGATACCGATAGTACTGCTTTAACTTTACATACGTGTAACTTGTCAGGACAATAGACTACCTGGTATAAACCTATCCTACATAGTGCATACTTCCCTGTTGTTATCCATGAAACGTGGTCACGAATTATATGACACACCAAGTTTTGTATCGTTTACATAAACTGGGACGGAGTTTTCAACAAAAGGTCGGTTAGTCCGAAAACACCTTTTACAAATACTAGAACTCAGAATAAAAAACAGTTTCTAATAACAAGGAAAAGACAAAAACTAAATAAAGTTTACTCTCCTATATATGTTTGATAGTGGTTTTTTTTGTATGTAGCCTTATACTTACATATAAATATAAATGAATCTGGTAAAACCATATAGGAAATTTAACTTTCCTTTTTAATTTTGTTGAAACTTACAATTATTTATGTTACCTATAACTGTCCATTATAAGACCAGAAGCAGTTCATTATTAAACAAATAACGGACTGTTACCGCTTAACAATGGACAGCTACATGATAATATCTTGCTACGTGCTACATCAACAAAGGATGACGTCACAACTGTGTTTTAAGAATTCCTGTACCACTGCCAAAAACTTAAAGTGCGCATTTGAAATGTTTTTTTTCCCGGCAAGATTGTAGCTTTGATAAATCATTTTTGAAAAGAAACCATACCTTGCGGGAGTTTTATAAAACAAATATAATAAAGATGAAATAAACAAAATATAATCAACAACACTGTTCTGGGTGTGAACATTCAATATAATGAGTGGCTTTGTTACAGTTATATTCGAAAGGAAATTGAGGGGAGGTTACTTCATTAATACGAAAAACTACTGTGGAGTGGGACAGGGATCATTAAAACAGATCTACAGTACATCTACCACCTTTACCCATCCCAGGTCGATGCTGCTAGTAACGTTCCCAACACTAAGTTTCATCTTCTTCTTTTTTTGATGATTTTGTGCACGGATTTTCTCAGCAAATTGGATTCCAATGAAACTTAGCATGAAAAGTGGTGGACATGCTTTGTTGTGCAAGGAACCCTTTTCTTGGCAAATTTCATATCCAAGATGGCCACGATTGCCTTTGATTGTTTGAAATTTGGATATTAACCTATTTTGCTCATATTTGATTTTGCAGGAGTATCAAATATTAGCAAACACGGCAAGCATCATTGACAACTGCGTGGGGTCCTTTTGGGGATTTTATGTAATTCATAATTATCACTTGTGTTTATGTAATATGGGGCATAGTAATACCGGTATACATCGATCACTGTAAAACCGGCAATCGAGAACACGGTTCCGGTTTTGGCTGAGTGTGACAATCGGGGACAGGGAAAAAATATGTAATAGAAACTTGTATTAGAAATAATTCTAAACTTATTTTCTGATAACTTGACTTACTTGACTCGATTCCTTCTCTCCGAGTTGAAATAAGGTCATGAACAAGTCCTCTCCATGTGTTCCTGTCCTGGGCTGATCTTGTTGCCTCTGTCCATGACCCGAAACCGTGATTTTTCATGTCTCTTTCACTGGTTCTCATCCATGTTTCTTTAGGCCTTCCCCTCTTTCTTTTTTCCTTCTGGTGCTCAGCCGAGTGCGATGCGTGGTTGTGTGCTTGTTTTAATCCGCAGAACATGTCCTAACCATTGCCAGCGGCGTTTCATTCATAAGGTGCTGATTTTATCTACCCCCTTCTGTTTCTCTCACTGTTGATGTTCAGAATCTTTCTGAGGCACTTAACAATTGATTTGAAAAGCATTATGTTCGTTTTCCTGTGTATTTGGTTGCTTCTCCAGATCTTGTTGGGTTTGTGGAATACTAACCTTACATTCTCCTTCTGATATCTTCGTTTGTGCCTCATGTATAACTGACTGTTGTTCCCAAGTATACACATTTGTTAACGTCTTTTATGTCGTTTCCATTGATGGCGATTTCCTGGCTGTTACTAGTTTATTATTTTTAGTTTTAGGCTGGTTTAAGCCTGTTTTTGTAGCGTAGTAAATTATCTTTATCATCTGTTCTTTTGTTGCTGGATAATAGAGCGATGTCATCTACAAAATCCAGATCTTCTAACTTTGTTGGAATTTGCCATACTATGCCCGTGTTGTTACTACAATGTAGCTGTTTTTTTTCTCATTATCAAGTCTATTATGAGGAGGAACAAAAAACCTGACATGTTGCTTTATACTAGATTTCACACCAAACCATATTGCTGTAACTTTTCCATCTATTACTGCATATTTACTGTCTTAATACATTATTTTCACCATTTGAATAATTTCTTTTTCAATTCTATAGCTTCTCGTGATATTCCATAAAGTGTCATGCTGTACACTGTCAAATGCCTTTTCAAAGTCAATAAATGATATATGTAGGTTTTAATTCACTTCGATTGGTTGCTCCAAAATGTTGCGGACAACGAACATTTGTTCCCTCTTCCAGCTTTGAGTCCAGCTTGTTCCTCCCTTAGCTTTATGTCTACACACAGGACAATTCTTGTTACTGTGATCGTTTCAAACTGAGAACTCCAGTTGTACTTCACCACCAAAACCTGACTCGTCTTTAAATGACCATAGCTGTTAATATGTTTTTAGTGTTTTTCATTACTGTAGTAGTCATGTCATTTTTGGCTAAATTGAAACGGACGTTCTTGGAGGTAGCATTCTTGAAAATGATAATGATACCTATTAAAAGAAGACATTTGTTATGTGCACAACCACCGTCAAAATTATCTTAATCTTTGGTGACACTTCGACACGTGAAGTTGATTTAATGCTTGATACCCTTTCGGGACAATCACTTAGATTTAAGTCAGACAGACGACACATGAATATTTCTAAATGTACACAAAATAAATTTGTTATGCTGTGAATTGTACTTAAAGTCATGTAAAATTCAGAAACATCTAAAGTAATTTAACTGTGCTATCCGTATTCTTAAATCTAAAAATATCCAATCTTCATTAGGGATATGGGGTTTCCCCCGAAGTGAGATCATTTTCAGTCTCTCCCAATTCATGCTCTTAGAAGAAACGGAAGAAAACTGATTCCGCAGAGGGCCACACATTAGTCACCCTTTACGATACACATGCAGTTAGATACAGCATATCTGCTCTTGGTTTCTTCTCAATACTAACTAGAAGACAAGGATGAAACCAACCCCGATTTTACAGGGTACCCATTAGTCGCCTCTTCCGTTCACGCAGTGGGATAAAGCAGGCCTATTCAACCTACCTAGGTTGAGTTGTAACAGAAAGAGACTTCTACTCTCTCTGATTATTGCCATCATTACGACAGTCATCTGCAGCACAATAATGCATTGACACATTACGTCCCTCAGTTGTCACAAACGATATACATGAATTACCAAGAGTTAACGAACACAAACGGTATAATTTGACCTGTATATCATTATTAAGAGGAACATAAACAATACATAGTAAAGAAACAATGCGTAATCGATTTATATTTTTTAATAGTTCATACATTTTCTTCACAAATAAATATATATTTCAAATCTGTTCAACATTTTATGTATAACACATATCAAAAATAGAAATATTAATTCACATAGAATGACAAACAGGCTCAAATGTTCAAAAGAAAGTTTTGACTGTTACAAGAAAATGCATTTTAATATTCGACCTATCAATTTTTTTTAAATAGGCTCCGCATTCCTTTGGTGTTTTTTCTTGTGGTACTCGTGCTGAATGAAAAGCAAATTGATATCTCCGGGAAAAGATACGGAGATATAAGTTTGCCAAACTTAATGTCAGCGAAATCTTAGAGATCTAAAGTATATGGCACATCTGTGATATACTACTGTGAAAAATACTTTTTACGTCAGCCTTCTCCATTTTTAAGAAAGGATAAATAAAACATTCAGAGAAGACAGAAATTCACAAAATAGTATGCTAAAAATGAGTTACAAAAAAGCAGGACAGACATACTTGATAATATGATTTAACGCAGATTGTGGACAATACCTTACCATGACAAAAATAGACTTGGATTTCCATTTCCAGCACCGTAATAAATAAATTTATATTCCCTCTGTAAAGTGCTAAGATAAAGCTACCAATCAATATTATTTTATAATCAGCAAGAATCATAACCGGTGATTTTTTTCCAAATCGAAACTGTTCGGTTTTTCCATCTTACTGTTGGAGTAATCGGGGAGCACTCATAATGTGAGGTCAGTGGTAATGTTTTGGCAGAAATTCATTAAACTTTTCAGTCATACAGTCAGAAAACCTTCAATTACCAATGCATCTATAATAAGTACATATATATTCATTATACATAATGGATATGGTAAACCGTGTACTAATATTTGCTTGATTGACAAATTTGCCGTTATTACGGAGGAAGATAAAAGGCGACAATTAAACTACAGCGAATATTTCCCGGTATACAGCAGTACAAACATATTAACACATTATAATTACTTTTACTAAAACAGTAACTTATAAATGTATAATTACATCTAAAATGATTACACAAGAATATTTTGTTCGTAAGAAATATATTTAATCCCCTCACATGAACGTTCTTCTCTTGTTCTGCGGCGGTTTTATTGAGGCCGTTAAGATAACAATAAATCATGGTCTGCTAAGCAAACAGACGTTAAAATAAAAGATAAAAATATGTGGAAAAATCATTCATAAATCAACTTTAACGATGTGTACACAATGTAATTTGATTAAAACCAGATCTTTAAGGAGGCTCCTTCCTTTTGCAATTAACCAGCAGAACTCGTTGACTATAGTGAAAATAAAGATATGTTTTTTTTATCAAATTGTACAAAAAATAGATACTTTTTTTTATCAAATGAACATATTTTGTATCTATATTAAACAGTGAAATCTGTCTCTTAGAATATAATAATATCAGTCGAATGAAAACTACCGTATAAGACCTGTGTATTCCAGCATCATGTTCAATCTGACCGACATGTAGTGTTGGATAAGGTAGGATATATGGTACTCAATTATCTAAAATACACGAACAGTCAACGACTTCTTATAACGACACTTCTGAAGGTTAAAAGTTTAAATAAATCTTTTCACTTAAACTTTTATACAGCTTCATACAATGCTGTAGTCAATACATTACGGAAATATAATATTATCGTGTTCATTATAAATTATCACACTGTGTCGGAGAACGATGTTCTCATCGCTAGTTCATGGATAAGGCCAAACATATCTGTTAATGTACCCCGATCGACCCTAGTGCTTACCTCCAACCCTAACAGTGTTTCTCACCCGAACGCACCCAATCCAGTGGGATAAGTTGTTCACCGGAGGCAAACAAATTATTGGACAAATAAACAAGGCACTTATGTATATACCATTTCTACTTCATAAGCAGGTATCGAAACCAAATCTAAACCTTAAAATATGTTTGGTGATTTTTGCAATTTCTTAAATTAGCCTCTTCTAAACTCCAATCCAACCCACTCGAAAAAAGGGTGAGGGGATGATAGAAAAATAAATCCCGACCTACCTACCCTTTCTCAGTTATGTTACCCCTACCCTAATTTTCCCTGTTATAACCATAAACATAATATTTCTTGGGACCTTAAATTAAGAGGCCACTACACGAGATAGCGATGAGAAAATTGTTCTTGACAAATCATGAAACTAAAACCTTGTGACAAACTGTTTATCACATGTATACTACTCCCTTATATATTTTACAATATCCAATATAAACCAACACAAGATTTGCCTGGAGGAATATCACAAATTATAAAACTTTTGAGAACAAAATGATTAAATATAATTTTTTTGATCCGGTTCACGGTGTCACCTGAAGCAAGGAGACATTCTATTTAAAGAAAACAGACTTTCCGAAACGGGAAATTTACCCTCATGTTGTTTTGAATCTGTAGTACACTAAAATTTAATGTGTAGATGAAATATCTATGTAACTGCTTTGAACAGTGAATACAAATAATTAATAACACTAAAACTACAACAAAGAACAAAAAAACCATACAAGTTCAGATTACATAAATTGTCGCCAATTCTCCATTCATATATTACGATTTGTCAGGCAAATATATCATGAACCCCATTTGAAAATAAACATCCCCCAATTTTCTCTCTTTCCTTCTCGTTCTGTATCTACAAAAGTCACATAATATCTGAATGCAAACTCTCTCTCTATTAACACATTGTGCATTCTTTTTGATATCCTGTGAAATCACTAATTTCCGTGGATTGTTTTTAATTTCATGGATTTCGTGGAGAGTCTTCAATTACGAATTCATAGGTCCACGAACAGAAATTACAAGTTTGATATGAAGGGATTTTTCTGTTTGGGTGGAAACTCGTAATTCACGAATTCATGTACCCAAGAAATGGAGTTTTGTCGGGAAACCATGATATTTGCGCCCCACGAAATATTTGATTTCACAGTCTTTAGCCAATAAGTTCAATTAGTGATAATTATTGTTTTTTTTAAAATGGAAACCTTTTGATTCGTTCACTATTCGGTAGATTGCGACAAATCTCGTTCTACGAATTGGCAACCTCCAGTGACCCGTGCCAGCATCTCAAACTCACCGGAAGTCATGTTCTCTGTGTTAAGTTGGTCTGTTGTCCCTAGAGTTATGTCCTGTGCTCCTACAAATGAAATAAAAGACTTTATATAAATAATGATATATTGAATGTCATCACATCATTTTTTAAAACCATTCACATAACTGTCTCCAGTTTTTCCTGTCTGTGGAAGGGTTTATCTGTTTTCTATAGTGTAGGGTTTCTCTGTCACCCCCTAGGGTATGGTTTTTCTGTCACCTCTAGGGTATGATTTCTCTGTCAACTCTAGGGTATGATTTCTCTGTCAACTCTAGGGTATGATTTCTCTGTCACCCCTAGGGTATGTTTTTTCTGTCACCTCTAGGGTATGATTTCTCGGTCAACTCTAGGGTATGATTTCTCTGTCACCTCTAGGGTATGTTTTTTCTGTCACCCTCTAGGGTGTGATTTCTCTGTCACCTTTAGGGTATGATCTCTGTAGGGTTCTGTATCACCTAGTTTCTCTGTCACCCTCTAGGGTATGGTTTCTCTGTCACCCCTAGTGTATGATTTATCTGTCACCTCTAGGGTATGATTTCTGTGTCACCCTCTAGGGTATGATTTCTCTGTCTCCTCAAGGGTATGCTTTTCTATCACCCCCAAATTAAGTTTCTCTGTCACCCTCTAGGGTATGATTTCTCTTTCACCTCTAGGGTATGATTTCTCTGTCATCTCTAGGGTATGATTTCTGTGTCAGCTCTAGGGTATGATTTCTCGGTCACCTCTAGGGTATGGTTTCTCTGTCACACCTAGATTACGATTCCTCTGTAACCCTTGTCTCTGTCACAATAACATGCAACACTGCTATTTCAATGCAATTTGTTGTCAATGACATTTCCAAACAATTCTTCTGGAGTAGAACTGAAACAACATCTGCATTAAGGTTCAATATCATGAAATAATTTCCAAGAAAGAGTAGTCTACAAGAGTGTAAAACATAGTTTCGGTTCACCAACAATAAAAAGGAAATTTAAACAGATGAGGTTTCAATACTACTAACTACGTAGCAGCTTTGGTTGTAACAGAAAGCGCATTCCCCCACGGCTAACATGAAAATGGAAAACAATCGATTTGAAGTTAATTAATTTTATCATTTTGACTTTATGCTGGCATATAATGGCTGAAAACATAAAAAACTACTTACAGAAGTTGTCGTTGTAACGTGGTTTGTTTAATCCTCATCATGTGCGCGGCCTCGTTTTCTTCGGGCTGAGAAATATAAAAATGCATCCATACAGTCTTGGTTAGGCAAGAATATCTCTCTTTACTATCGATACTTAACTATATCATGGGAAGTTTTTGCTAAGTTATTATTTTTGAAGAAAATATATTCTGTCGCACCAGTATTGGTCAATGGCTGTCTTCTCAAATTTTAGTACTTGCATGAACACTGAAAAAATCCAGATTCAATCCCCATAATTCCAAATCAGTTTCAAATGGAAGGAAAACAGAAAAATATCATTTGAATTACGAACTTTCTCGTTCATTCACAAATTTAATGTAGTACTATGACGAAACATTGCAATGTCATTTTGGGGATCTCGAAACAAATTCACGTGAACATTTCCCACAACCGCTTTGTCCGGCTAGAGCGGCCTTGTTGAAAAAATCATTGAAGAATCAGTGGAGTAATTTGCGAATGAGCTATAATTTAGCTAAGGCGATTCTACATAGACATTTTACAACCGTGCACGGTGAAGTCGAGTGCTGATTTTTGTTTCATGCATTATTCATGGTAAAAAAGATGATGAAAGAACTTTAATTGGTATGTCATGGGATGAACATTATGTGTCGAAATTCCAAGCCCGCATTCCTTGGGGTTCGGTTGTTTGTAGTCCCGGTCTCGCTATGTGCGGCGTAAGTAGGCCTAACGTCACTGTACCTTAATCGGGACACTTTTAGATAAATATCAATGCTCTTTATACCATACTATCAGTTTCGATTTTTTTTGTTCACTATTTCATAAAAAGATAATATCCACTTTTCGTTTCTATTACAAGTTGATGTTTTGGGCGCATGATTATATAAATACACGCGAAATACTTTCAGGGTTACGTATAGGTCCATGAACCGGCGTAACAGTTCCCTGAAAGGGACACTTCGGTATTTTGGCGAATATTTGGGGATAAACAATCAATATCGGCAGAAAAATTTGCATAGTTGATATATTTTAGAGTCAACGAGGGTTATGATTAAATTATCTCTCCAAACTAGCACTAGGTTTGATTAAAGAGACTTTTGGAAATGATATCCAAAAAAAAGCGTCGCACGGCACGTAAATAAGAAAAGTAATGTTTTGATAATTATTCTTACCTTTAAAATACCCATGTAACGATAATCAGCAGCCAATAAAGATTATGTACAGTTAAATTGTCACAAAAGTATAAATGAATGAAAAATGTTTACATAAAAGTACTTCTTTGCATTGCATGACAGTTTCTTGGGCCGTTTTCCCACAAGTGTTCCGTTTTGGGTACTGTCTCGATTTGGTTACAGTGACATGAGTGTTCGTCATGTTCGTTGAAATCCATGGATAGTATAGTATAATTGTAAGTAAATTCACCTCAGTTGATACTTTCTAATATTGGAAACATACATATTAATTACTTATATAGTCTATATTTCGATCACTGTTGCGGACCAATATGTGACATCGAAATAATGTCAGTTTGAGCTTTGTCGAATTGATATCGTCGGTTCGTCAGTCGACAGAACGTGTCACTGTTGTGAATATGGTCAACTGTAATATGAAATGATTTATTTGTAAAACTGCCAATATTTAAGATAAACAATGAGACAAATAAAAAAAAATAAAAAAATAAACAGTAGATCTTGCATTTTGTTCAAGGCGAGTTTAGTTTAGGCAATGGGAGGCAACTCGAAAGACAATACAATTGCTTACTGGCAAAATGGTGATTTTGAAAACCTTAAAAGTAGTCCTATGGAAAAAACCAGTTGTTCATACTAATATCAACAGCTGTTTTTATGGGTCACATTTNTAATATGTGACATTGAAATAATATCAGTTTGAGCTTGTCAAATTGATATCGTCGGTTCGTCAGACGACAGAACGTGTCACTGTTGTGAATATGGTCAATTGTAGCTTGAAATGATTTATTTGTAAAACTGCCAATACTTAAGATAAACAATTAGACAAAGAAACAATAATAAAAAAAACAGTAAATCTTGCATTTTGTTCAAGGCGAGTTTAGTTTAGGCAATGGGAGGCAACTCGAAAGACAATAAAATTGCTAACTTACAAAATGGTGATTTTGAAAATTTGAGATCCAGACCCATGGAAAAAACAGTTGTTCATACTAATATAAACAGCTGTTTTTATGGGTCACATTTACTACTTTTAACCAATCACAGAACCTGTAACATTAATGTAAATTAGACATTTCATTTATATGACACATGAATTCGTGCTTAATTTAACATCATCGCCTGCTTTGTGACGTCATACTTGACACTCACGCGTTTCATGAAAATCGTTTCTGTAGAATGGCAGGTTTTCAATTGAAGCCGGCATGAATTTCCGAGAATCGCTGAGATCCAGACCGTTATTGTCGTAAAACGCTGGCTGATGGCTCCAACTGGGCACGTTCGCATGGAAACGCGTCGGCATAAAAGTCGGTGTCCCGGGCCTGAAAAAGTCAACATATAGATATAACGATGCAAAGCATAACAATCACATACATAAACAGTAGAATACGATAGAATTGTGTAGATTTGTTCTCCTAAAAATAGTCCTAATCTTCCATACTCTGCGAATCTCGCAGTTGACCGTTTCGATTGCTTGACAAGTGATGAATACTAGAAGTTCTGTGGACCCGAGATTTGGCAGCTATTTTGATTAATTAATAAAGCATATTAACTTACTATGGAGGTGTTCGAAATCATCGATCGATAATTATAAGGCACCAATCACGGGGTCAGGTGCATAGGTAATTCGATTTTCAACTTCATCGCTATAATATTTGCAGCTAATTGGATATTCAAAATGACCGTCAATGACGTCATCAAACAAAGATGCAGGTGTTCAAGTACTTCAATGAATGTAATTATTTGCAACTCTTATATCTAATGGCAGTAAAGAAGGGAAATTAACCAGCGTCGAAACAAAACAATAAGCTTAATTATCTTTCATTTTGATGCAATATACTATAAGCAGTGACATTGTCCAAGAAGTGTCAAAATGTTGCTGGCTAGATAACTATGGATGACGATGTCTAATTCACCGATTAGAACAACACCACCACCAGGATAGTTCAGTTAATATACATAATGTATTTACGAAATACTTATATATCGCCTTTTCGATATAAAAGTATGTGTTTTATTTGATTTAAACATATTTCATTGTCTTAAAATAGCGATGGGATTCGGCACAAGTTATTCAACTTATAGAAATCCATTTCCTGTGTTTTATTTGAGGTGGTGATACCTCAATGTATTTTTCGTTGTTTGATGTCGTCTGCTTCGACTTCTCATGCACATCCATATCAAAACTATAATGACGAGGAGAAGGACGGCAGTCACACCAAATCCGATACCCACAAGGACACCCAAATCGTCTGTGGAAAAAATAACGATGGAGATTCGAAGTGTCACTAAAACCATTATTTGTATGCAAAACAATAAAATTAAAAAAAACTATGAACTTAAGTCAAAATATGAAAAAGGTAAGATTTACACAGAGACCGTGGGGAATGCACAAGGGTAAGCGTCTTCTGCCTTATCGACAATCCCCGCCTGTAAATTCTACGTCAAACATAAGTAATGTTACGTCTTCATAACGAGAACCGGGGTATTGGTACCGAACAACAATGCACATATGTATAAGCATGATCAAAAAAATTCACCTTCATATCACATAAAGAAATATCATATTTCCCGATGAAATCATGATTATTGCGACAATAAAGCTTGCGAATAGTCCTTATCAATCTGCATCTTTGCAAACCGGTTTTGTATAACTTTGTCCATCTTGCACTTACATCGCCCATTTGCATATTCAAATTGTCTTCTCTTCACCCTTTCCATTCGAAAAAAACCTTAAAGACGGAATTGTTCATTTTACGGACTAGCCTAAAAAGTTTTAGAGAAAAAGCGTCGCCTTGTTCAAATAATCCTCTTTCCACTTCATTAACTCATTCACCCCAGAAGACACATTTAAACTCTTCCAATTCAAATAATGGAATAGTTCATTATGAAATTGCAGGGTGGAATGGGTTAAAAATATTATTTACACGAATTCCAGTAGGAAATATATAATGATGAATGATTAGGTGGCCGTAGGAATATAAATATATTAGCATTGCCGTACTTTACTTTATCATAATACCAAATATAACAGTTATCATTTTACAAGGAAAAGCACAAATATATTGATATTAAAAACAATCTTACCTGAAGGTTGCTGGATTGTTCTGAAAAATAGAAATAAATAGAGAAGATTTAGGAAATACATATCAGTAGTAAATGTGGCTTTAAATGTGAAGCAATTAAAAATAACTTACGAAATACACGTTTAATGTTGTTTTGTGCAATATTCGATTGTCGATTCGGATACGCTGTTAGCGTATGTACAATAGTTGCTATAAATGTACCGAAATGACTCGATTCAGCTACGCTTTGTTTGATGGTCATAGATGTGCAAGAGTCTTTGAGCCCCCTCATCTCGATTTAGAACTGGTCCCCTCCGGCGTATCCATTATCCATACTTACCAACATGAAGAAAATATTTAGAAATATCCGAACAAAGTACGGACAAGTTATTGTCAAAGATGTTTAGAAATTAGAGGGCATAGAAAAGAAATTAGCGAAACATAGAAATCACCTTATATTAACGCTGAGTAGAGACTTGCATACAACACCTTCAAGTCTGAATATTAGGGCCCAGTTAATAAATAAATGCTAGGAATATCATCAAGAAAGCACATACAGATCTAGTGAAAGAGAGAAAACGGGTTGTACACAATGAAATAGACGCATACATGCTTGAGGTAACAGTACTCGTCGAAAACTAACCCAGCGCTTATCGAGTGACACTGTAGGGGATATGAACAAACACATGAAGCGTAAAGGTGAACGAGCGTTCGACACGACCAAACAACGCCACTTGACTAAATTAAACCGTCTTGTAGATAAATCATCATAACACTAATACAGATGCAGCTCTGAATGAACGGTTCTATGCTAAAGAAATGGGTAGTCAACATCTCCAATTAGGAGCTCACCAATAGCGAGAAAACGTAACTCGCTAAGGGTATGCACTATGCCATCGTACCAGATAAAATCCCGGTTGATGATTTTGTTAAAGCCACGAAACAAGCATATAAGAAGCTAAGCTATGCTGAGGCTGATCAACTGAAATCCAAAGTAACGGGTGTTTTGAATTCCACAAAATTACCAACAAGTAATATGACGAACGAAGAAGGGGTCGCACTCCAAAAATTAGGCAGAGACAAATCCATTACGGTATTACCAGCTGACAAGGGGAAGGCAACTTTTGTCATGGACACCGACGATTATGATGCCAATGTAACGACAATGCTTCAGGACAACAAAACATATGAATATCTGCTGATCAACTAAACTCAAAAGTTTAAAAGGCGTCTCATACATGTAGCTATCCTATCAAATTAAAGAGAGCAAGATTACCGAAAGCCAATACAGATATCTGTATCCTACAGCAGAGAATACTCCTAGAGTGTACTCTTTACCCAAGTCCACAAGCAGGGGAACACATTGAGACCTATTGTGGTCTACACAGGGTCCATTGGTTACAATGTTTCAAGGTCATCAGCAGATATTCTTGGACCGCTAGTTGCTAAATCGGAACACTAAGTCAAGAACTCGAAACATCTAACGGAAGCTATATCTACCATCATGATTCAGGAAGACGAATAATTCATTTCACATGATGTTGTCTCTCACTTTACCAACATACCCATTCACGATGCACTTAGAATCATTCGGAAACGCTTGGAATTAGACCGATCCTGGCCTAAGAACACAAACCTTCAGATTCAGGACATCATGGATTTGTTGGAATTTGTGCTGACAACAACATATTTTTGTTTCCGAAACAACATCTATCAGCAACGCTTCGTCACTGCTATGGGAAGTCCAGTGTCTCCAACATTATCTACTACACGTCTTTCATTCAAAGTGATACAAACATAAAGAGTAATATTCGAGCATATACGAATTACTTGGCACATATACGGAAAGGTTTCCCTTGATTCGATCGTTAAGAGTTCAAGCAAAACCATCAATAATGCCAAAACTCACAAACAGGTGGCGCTGCCTCCAACCACCTCACAGGTTTTCCCGTCACCACATCCGGTCGTTGACGTCGAGGCAAACACGTCACAGGGGTTAGAGTTCACTGTTATCGGAACTGCAAAACGAAGATGACAGATGTTTAGGTGAATTCATTAAGCAATACAATACAATCCAATGGAAAACAAGCAATATACAAATATCCTATGCTATAGTACTTTTTCGTAACTGGAAATCTGGAATCGATGAGTAATTTGTTTATTAAAGGTAATCATACTTAATACCATCTATTGTGAAATAAAGATTGATGTAATTACACGAACAAAATGTTTCAAGGACCGAATGACGTCAAAAACACGATGAAGAAACTTGAACTCACCTCGGCGGAACCTATCCACTACTGAGGTAATGCCTTACTAACAGTGTTATCCAGTAATCGTATATCGGCACAGTAACCAATCTGTGCCAAGGGTTAGCAACTCTTATCTAGAGAGTATTTTTTGTTGTCTTATCTTCAAGACGAAAGGGGTGAATTCTTAAATAATTAAAGGTCTGAAGCTGAACTCTTTCGCGACTATAACTCGTAGTACCCATACCTTAAGAATCTATCTTAGGACATTTTACCTTGTGTGCCCTCGTTGTCCTCCAGAGTAATGGCGGAAGTTTGGGCGGATTGGTTGTTATAAGTGAGTGTGTTGCCGGCAGCCAGCCCAACAAGCGCGTTGGTGATCCCCATATTCGCTTCCGTTGTGTTTGACGTAACTATCGTATGCCCAACAACCAGACTCCCGCGTCTGAAATAAAATAAAATGGTATTCTATACTCTCATGCAAGGAGGCAGAATGCTAGAGGGAGGAAGGGACAGGACGGAGGGAAGGAATGAGGAGGAGGAGACATGACGAAGAGATACAATAAGGAAGAGGAAGTGGTTCAGAAGCAGCAGTAGCAGCAGCAACAACAATAAGTGAACTTACCTCAAAAGGATGATGAAGAAATCTATAAATCCATTGACTCCCCGGTACACAATAAAAAGCTAAAATGTCAAAAAAGAAAAACAAAATAACTTTAGCCACAAAGGTAATTGAAGACCAATATGTCCATATTGCTATACTTAAACATGTTTTCTACATGAAATATTGAAAGTAAGAAAAACAAAGCGAAGGAGGCTCACATAGATATAAACCCACCCCCGCTTCGCCCATGATCTTTGACCCTTTAACCTTGATCGATCATCATCAAACCCTGATCAGGCGTAGAAATCAATGTTTCCATATTATGGCGTAAAAATGTTAAATTTCTTGAGGAATTGGTGAGATATCTTGTAAATAAGTCTTTTTATTTGCTAAAATTATGATCTTTGACTTTTAAACCTTTACCAATGACCATCAAAATTTTATCAGATTTGGGAATTGATATTTATATACTTTGGTGTAAATTAGGGGATAGTACGTTGTTTTGAGTGGCTATACTGGCGATTAGAACATGAAATTTGGGTTTGACCTCGAGACCGATAGGTCGAGAGTTTAAACCAATTTTCATGTTCTAATTGCCAGTATAGACACGAAAAACAACGTACTATCCCCATTCTAACACACCTTAACAAATATACTACGCTAATATGTTTAGAAACATTGTATTTCCTTGTACGAAAGTACTTTGTGAGCCGAACTGGCGACGTGTCATTCTGCAGCGGACTGACCAATCGGAAAGAAGCTTTCAAAAGTCGGTCATTTAGCCCCGCCCATACTGGCGAGAGCTCGATATGTATGTTGACGAGGCGGAATATTTGGATTGTTCGTGAACGTCCTTATTACCAAAGTTTACACGACACATTCGGTTTCCTATTGAACAAGTTCATACATGTACATGTCAGTATGCCTACCAATCTGTGCTTATCGACAAAATCGGTGATTATTTGTATAGATTTGTGAAGAGTTTTGTGTGAATGCATACGACACATGTGAAATGTTTGATTTGATTTCGAATCTAAATAGATGCCTTCACACGGATGGAACGAACGTTTTAGTAATAAATGGAGGTAAGAGCAAGGAATGTGTTACTTTTACTTTTAATTCATTCAACAAATGCATTTAATCGGTCGTTTCTGTTCTGTTGCCTACTAGCCTGTATCGGCGGGATTTCGCTATGAGGCGAGCTTGACGCCATATTGTTTTGGTTAGAAACGGGGCGTGGCTTAAGCGCGATGGGAGGTTCTTAACACGATTGATCATGTCTCTATCGCAGATTAGAACATGGTCCGTATCCAATCAAAACACGCATTGCAAACGAATCGTGTTAGAATATAAATTAGATATGTTAAAGGATTCATGAGACGGTTTGTACCCAACCTTTTCACTACGGACGAATGCATCATGACATACCGTATAGCAGGCTATTTCTACGATGATGACATGTTCGCGATTTCACGGGTCAGTAACATGATCGCGAAAATATGATACGCGGTATAATATGACAAACGTAAAAATGAACTGCTATAATAAACTTCATAACCGTGATGAGATCATAAAATATCGCGTACGTAAGAGTATTGATGTTTAAAAATAGGTCATATCACACATCTAGTAGTTTTGTTGATGATTGGTTTAACAAAACACCCTAACTTGTTGTTACTCAATATGCCTAATTTGACTTTTTATATACCCAATGTCCCTTCTCTGTGCTGTTGTTACTGAATATGCCTAATTTGACTTTTTATAAACCCCATGTCCCGTCTCTGTGATGTTGTTACTCAATATGGCTCATTTGACTTTGTATATACCCCATGTCCCGTCTCTGTGATGTTGTTACTCAATATGGCTCATTTGACTTTGTATATACCCCATGTCCCGTCTCTGTGATGTTGTTACTCAATATGCCTCATTTGACTTTGTATATACCCCATGTCCCGTCTCTGTGCTGTTGTTACTCAATATGCCTAATTTGACCTTTTAGATAGCCCATATACCGTATCTGTGCTGTTGTTACTCAATATGCCTAATTCGACTATGTGTATAGCCCATGTCCCGTCTCTGTGCTGTTGTTACTCAATATGACTCATTTGACTTTGTATATACCCCATGTCCCGTCTCTGTGCTGTTGTTACTCAATATGCCTAATTTGACTTTGTATATACCCCATGTCCCGTCTCCGTGCTGTTGTTACTCAAATGCCTAATTGGACTTGTTATATAGTCCATGTCCCGTCTCAGTGCTGTTGTTACTCAATATGGCTAATTTGACATTTTAGATAGCCCATATACCGTATATGTGCTGTTGTTACTCAATATGCCTAATTCGACTTTGTGTATAGCCCATGTCCCGTGTCTGTGCTGTTGTTACTCAATATGCCTAATTTGACATTTTAGAAAGCCCATATACCGTATATGTGCTGTTGTTACTCAATATTCCTAATTTGACCTTTTAGATAGCCCATGTCCCGTCTCTGTGTTGATGTTACTCAATATGCCTAATTTGACTTTTTATAAAGCCCATGTCCAGTCTTTGTGCTGTTGTTACTCAATATGCTCAATTTGACTTTGTATATACCCTAAGTCCCGTCTCTGTGCTGCTGTTATTCAATATGCCTAATTTGACTTTTTATATACCCCATGTCTCTTCTCTGTGCTGTTGTTACTCAATATGCCTAATTTGAATTTTTATATACCCTATGTCCCGTCTCTGTGCTGCTGTTACTCAATACGCCTAATTTGACTTTTTATATAGCCCATGTCCCGTCTCTGTGCTGTTGTTACTCAATATGCCTAATTTGAATTTTTATATACCCTATGTCCCGTCTCTGTGCTGCTGTTACTCAATATGCCTAATTTGACCTTTGATATAGCCTATGTCACGTCTTTGTGCTGTTGTTACTCAGTATGCCTAATTTGACTTTTTGTAAAGCCCATGTCCAGTCTTTGTGCTGTTGTTACTCAATAAGCCCAATTTGACTTTGTATATACCCTAAGTCCCGTCTCTGTGCTGCTG